ACCGTGCATTTTATTGTAGGGTCAATCAAGTGAAATAAACGTTTTCATGTTCAGGGTCGTGCAGCTATTCTAGAAAGTCGTTTAGCAAACGTAAGAAATGCGCATGTATCACGTGTTTCCTTTTGTGACGTCATCAGGTGACCACAAACCTTGTGATATGTTGTCCCTGGGTGTATAAGTTGTCAATCAATGTGAATGGTCCATGAACGCAATCTAACCTTTAGCCACATTCGTGAACCATCGACTCGCTTCCTCATTCTTATACTATTTGAATTGATGCTAGAAGCTTAAAGCGCGATGTCGTCGCGCAGCGCGTGTTCGAATTTCATGTAAATAAACAATGTATTTTACACGCGTTGTATACGTCGCTATGAGTCCCATATCGAACAGGACGCGGCACGACGACCACAGCCCTTTGAGTGCAAATTCATAAAACCGGTTTGGCAATGTTTAAAGTTCATTAGCGATCTTGCAGTTTGATTAAACACTGCATTTTTTGTGTAACAAAATAGACCTATATAATACAAACAATTTTAACTTTGATGAGGAAAACAGTTTATATCAAACATATTGATAAACATGATTTCATGAGGTATTTCCCATTTTTTAAAGATGCAGCATGAGCGAAAGCACATATTTTTAATATCGTTCCATGATGCTGCATGTTGAAGATCAAACTGAGTTGTGTTTTAAGAAAAAAATGCTAAATATGTTTCGCAGCACACTGTATCATTCGTTTATACGCATGTAATAATTGTACGTACAGAAATAACCTGTGCACATGCGCCGCAAAAATATTTCCTGGTTTCATCGAACCAATATTCCGATATGTACTACAACATCATCATCATCATCAACAACAACAACAACGTGTTTAATGTAAGCTATGCATAAATTATTCTTTATCTGTTTTCGACATCAATTTGAGTTCAAAAAGCAAGAAGGCTGATTTACAGTTCATTAAATATTCTAAAACATGTAAATGCCAGTGAGCAACAAATAAGATAAGATATTTTTTCCAGTTTTACTAATCATAATAAAATCTTGTTTATCGTAGTTTTTTTGACACATCACATCAGCTTTAATAAATAGCGCAATTTATAACACGCTACCTGATAATTTTAGTGATAATCACGCCATCACACACTGAATAATCGGACTGATACATTTCCGGATTAACTGATACAACATCAGAATCAGCACATTACTCAAACTAATGGGAAATGTTATTTGATATACAAATGTCTAAAAATTGTTCCATCAAACACAAGAAACAACTAAGTCGCACTTGAATTAATATATGTTTTAAAACAAATGTTTTTTTTTTCAAATTATTCACGTTTGGCGTCATAAATATTGAGCCAATATATCAAAAAGACTTGGCAGGTCGTTGACCCGAGATGACCTCAGTTACATACATGTTTTTTTTTTTCTCACAATTTGAGTGCGCTGACACCACAAAAAGAATCACCGTTTCATGATAAATCATGATTCAATATATTCTTCAACATAAAAATAATAAACAACAATATTACAAATTACATGTTTTCATCCATATTGAACTGTAAACAAAAATCAAGGCAACACAATGTATCCTTTCAGTCACCATGTGTATATATGGTCACGCATATATTTGAGATGTGAGAAGATAGCATAGCAACCGATGATTAACAGGTTTAATTAGTTACAAAATGGCCGCCACTGCTGTATAACCGACATTAGTTTCCAACTGGTTTCTATTCTTGTCCGAATGTAACTTCGATGCATCTAAATTCGAGTGGGTTCAAAACGAGGTTGAAAATTAAATTACTATTTCTCTTCACACTAATAATATAAGTCCATGGATTACATACAATTATTGGGGGGTTATATCGATTAAACCATGGATATAAAAAAACTCAATGGAATTCTTTCTCTCACTGGCAGTTTGTCTAACTATGCTAATTATATGCAAAATTTAGAAATCGCGCCAAACTCCAGTTCATCTTTATCTTCTAAACTTCAAATTGGGCGTGGGCATACTAAATTGTAGGGCGGACTATAATTTCAAATCACGGCACGAGCAGTAATGTGGGACTTGGTACTGAAACGGTGCGCATGTCTGGTGGTACGTGGTAGTCGCGCAGCCCGTGTTCAAAATTCGTGTAAACAAACAATGTAATAAACAAGCGTTCATACGTCGCTACGGAACCCACATCCAACACGACCGCCGCCCTTTAACATTGTCAATTGTCCTAATAATCAATATATTGATCAAGGGTGTTGTATATTGTGGCGATATCACATATTTGCTCTAATTTATCAGCAATTTGTGTAAGATAGTTTCACACATTAGTTTCCCGCAAAACATACAAGTATAAACGACAATAAATAAAACAGTAGAAATGTAAATTTAACTTTGTTCATGATTTGGTTCATTCAAAATACACTCCATACACCAACGCCACAGAAAACAAATTCTTGTTTCTATAACTCGCACTGGAAAATGAGTCCGTGTTGGAATTCCAAATACTACGACTCACTAACTGGAATGCTTGACCTTTCAACTCGCCGATGAATACGTTCACCACGATTTTATACCGATTATACCCCATGTCCTTGACGCGGTGCTTTATTAATTCGCTTATTTTGGTTGACATGACTTTGGAGCCGGACGCGTCGTATGTTTTATCGTGCAGGTAGTGCGCAAGTGTTTCCTCGAGAACTTTTCGAACTTTACATGAGTCAAACACGATTTCCTCGTCTGGTTCCGTTTTAAAGGTATTCTCGTAGCAGATAAGCGAAGGTTTCAAGCGCGTAGTCGATGTTCTCATCGCGCTTCCAGGTTTGCGTCTTCCGATAGTGCGTATCCATGACGACCCTTTCTGAGACAATCTCTGACTGCCAACTACAGCGGACTCACTGTCCGATGACCCCTCAATAGACAGGCTTGATTGCTTCCTAGTCAACGGGGCGTGAGACTTTACTACCCGCGGAAGACGAACCGGCGTGCTACCACTGCTTTGCAAAGATTCCGAGCTTCCACTCGCGATAGAGTTTTGTTTTTTAGGCGCCGTGATAAGTCTAACATTGGAGGAAATTACTTTCACTACCGGGACATCTTTCGTTTTAGTGAAAGTTTTCGTCGCAGAAGCGCTCTTACTCCTAGTAACAGGTGGTTGTTGTTTGTCGTCTTGCTGTAGTGGTTTATCCATCGTAGAGTTGTTCATGATATGTCAAACTTTATGGAAGCTGAATAACGGCGTATAGTTTGGAAGGAATGTACTTCGCTCGACTAACTCGTCTTTGCCACAAAGTCCCCAAAATAGCGATTGAAATTCAAACACAATATATGTTCACTGGATAGCTCTCCGTTCGCGCGTCAAATCTTTAAATTCTTCCACAAAATACGACGGAAGGTTGTTCAAAAATTCGCAGGCATCGATGACAGTGAAATATTCTGAATACAGTCCGGCTTGTTTACAATCCGTTTCCACAGTAAACAGTGCGTCAACATATTACACCCGATTTGTACCTGAGTATAACCTTCTTACACATTTAAAGTAGATAAAAAATAATCCTTAATCTATCTCCAGAGGGTGAGCAGTCGGATTAGGCAAAACCTGTTTCAGTTGAGAGTCAGACAAATTTGTCTGTATTCTTTATGTTAACTTTATAATACCAAGACCCGCCGCGGGACCTAGCAAGGTGCTGCTGTTCTAGGCCAGAGATTGAAAACTAAACGTTGCCACTTCTTTAGACGCTCAATGCGATTTTCTTTGTTTACCAAGTACTGTGTGGCCCACATACATGTATGCCGAAAGCAAATATGACGTCATGCCTCGTCAAGACTGTAAAAACAGTGATAAAAAACACAGCACGAATTGCATTCACACTTTGACATGTTAGTAACCCAAGTTGAAAACATAAATGAACTGACCCTGCAGCCTGTTTGCATCAAACGCCAAAACTACGACTGATTCTACCTATTAAAGGAATGGTACCAGCATTTCATAGAACGAATTTAGGCGA